GGGGGGGGGGGGTGAGTTGGAATTTTCTGATATATTTGTTTAAAATGTCAGTGGAAAATAACTGCACAAAGTGAAATAGTTTTTATGTGCTCTGTTACTTTGGTAGTTAAGTGAAGAGTTCTTGGCTTGAGCCTTGAATGACATTTGCGATTTGTGTGTTGATTCTGAAGTACACTGATTGTGAAATGTAACAGATGTATTGATCCACTGCATTAGGGTTTCGTGTCTTACCATGTGGCAGAGCTGTCTGTAAGATACTCTGTGGGAGACAAGGTCCTTTGTCAGGGATGGGGTTGCACTGCAGACGCAGTCAGCTGAGACCAGCCCTGCTGCAACTTCATCTCCCTGCTTGGATCTCCCAAATAACCTGACACTCCCACAGCTGTGGCAGGGATCAGTATAATTACCCCGTGGCTGGTGAGGCAGGCAGTGCCTAATGCCACTCTATCTGAACTGCGAGGGAAAGCGGGTTAAGCTGGGATAATGCTCCAGCCTCATCCTAGCAGCTGGCAGCCTTCTCACTCCAGCTGGCTCCAGGAGAGCCAGAAGAGGAGCATCAAGTTTGCTGTGTGTCTCAGACCTTACATGATGGCAGCGTGGTCGCTGCCTTGTTGCTAGGACAACCTGCCTCTTTACTCATTTATTTCCAACTTCAGTCTGATGCATCCTTTGCCCTGCCTTTGCTGGAGCAGTCTGGTTGGCACTCAGGCGCGCTTTGATGGGCTTCAAATGTATCTTATGTAGCTAACACTTATACAGGGAAGGCATCTTCCATCTCCTTACCCCAGGTCGTTAGACAGGGGTCTGTCTTGGACTTTAGCATTTAATGGAAAGGGAGAGGTATATCGGTGGTTTCTAATGGTACTAGAACAGTTTAAGCTCCATTCCCTTCCTTTCCTGATATTCCCATGCTTCCTGGGGGGCTCGTTTGAATATATCTACCTGAAAATATGGCCTAAATCTTCCTCTCATTTTTTTAAAAAGCACTAATTAGTTGTTCTTGCATGTGTGAACAGTGTAGCCTGCAGAATACATGCACTTTAATAGAATCTGTGATAATCTATGTAGACTTTAAACCACTAATTATAAAAGGCAGTAGAAAGTTCATGTTAACACTGTTTTGCAGCAGAGATGTCTTTTAAAATGTGTTATTATTGGTGATAGAGGCTTTGCTGTAAAAAGTGACCAGATATTTTTGTCCTTTTTCCACTCAGCTGTCCCATTTCCTCCAAGTCATCGGCTCACAGCTAAGGAAGTGTTTGATAATGATGGAAAACCTCGTGTGGATATCTTGAAGGCACACCTTATGAAAGAAGGGAGACTGGAAGAGAGTGTCGCTTTGAGAATAATAACAGAAGGAGCTTCAATTCTTCGCCAGGAAAAAAATTTGCTGGACATAGATGCACCAGTTACAGGTTAGTATGGAATTGTGATGATGGAGTGGATGGTTGCTAGTTTGGGACATGTTAAGTAATGCAGTAGTGTATGTGGCTTCCTCGGGAGCTAAAATGCAGCTTGAAAAGCATTTGTTCTCTCCAGTACTTGATTCTGTCTTTGTCTGCTATCACTAAGATAATAGAGGCCATCAAGCAGCTTGTAAATTAGAGGAAAGGATCACATCTGCTGAGCCCTTTCTGTTTCTAAGGCAGAGAACATTTTTAGTGTTTAGGGGAAGGTTAGAACGACTTTCTTAAACTTGAAAAATTACCTGGCCTTTTGCACCAGGTATTAATTCAATGATTTTATAGATACCATTTACCATAGGAGCACTGTTCAGAGGTATGGACGGCATTGAGCTCTGAACCTCATGAAGTTCAAGAACTCCAAGGGTAAGGTCCTGCACGTGGCTCAGGGCAATCCCAAACACAACTGTGGAGTAGGCAGAGACTGGATTGAGAGTGGCCCTGCAGAGAAGGACTTTGGGTGCTGACTGAGAAGAAGCTCAACATGAGCTGACAGTGTGCGCTCGCAGCCCAAAAAGCCAGCTGTATCCTGGGCTGCAACAAAAGGAGTGTGGCCAGCATGTCGAGGGAGGTGATCCTCCCCCTTTTCTCTACTCTCATCAGACCCCACTGTAGCAGGGGTGTTGGAACTAAGGGATGTTTAAAGTCCCTTCCAACCCAAACCATTCTATCGTTCTGTGAAGGAAGAATGTTGTCAAAGTAAATAGAAATTTTAATTAAATGTGAAGGAAAATAACGAGTGTAGAAAAAAGGAAAAAAAATTAGCAGAATTCCAGTGTATGTTGCCTGGAGGATTAATGAATTGTGCTAGCTGCAGAAACTATCCTGCCCCTGACTATCAGACAATACCACCCACTCATTAATCCTCAGGAAATGCCTTATACTTTGAATTTCCTTTCTAATTGTCCCCTGCCTCCGCTTGCATTCTGAATGTATGAATGCATTTGCTTGCTCTAGTGTGCCTCCTCCCCTGTTTTGTTGTTATTACTGGGTATGAATGCAGTTTTGGCAAGAAATTGATCTCTGGCATAAAAAGTTAGCTGTGGGGCAAAAGATAACTGATTTTAGCCAGCTTAAACTATGAAACCAGACCATAAAACTTGGTTTAAGAAGGCAGGTCCTTTTGTCACTTTTGTTTCTGGAGAGGCCTGGCAAAAGTAAAAGAAATAGGTTAATCTGCAGCAGAAAAATAGGTTAATCTGCAGCAGGTTACCAGTTTTTATTACCAGTACTGGTAGCATTCACCAAAAACTACACAGAAGTAGCAAAATCTTCATTTTCAGGAAATCTTCTCTGAAACTGAAGAGCATAGTGTCTGGACTAGAATGATGTGCAAGATAAAGCTTGTCATTTTAAAGATGGCATCCAAATAGGGGATTGATTGTAGCTTGACCTGGAGAGGTAACGTGTATCATCTTTTATGTAATAATTAGCATGTCATGCTGCCATACAATTCTGATGGAAAAGGTGTCAATAATGTTGCAGCTGATGGATGAATAAAGGAAAGAGGATGAATAAAAGGATCCCCTGGGTAGACTGATAATCAAGCTCTACAGATATTTTTTTTGATGCGTAAGGATAAATGGAAGAAGACATAGGGGTGCAATGTGCAGTATCATTGTCTGTAACCCATAACTGAGCAGGAGATGTACAGAAAAGTTTACATTTTTTGGATTTTCTTCCTTTTTTTCTTTTTTAGTGTGGTTTTTTTTTTTTTTTTTTTTAATTTGTTAATCCATTGAAAGGTGTAGTCTCGGTAGCAGGGTGGTTCTGGTGTCTTGTGTCCCAGCTGATTTCTTCAGTCCATATTTAATGTTCTCTTTCTCTTTTTAACTTTTCTCTTTAAATATTTTTTTCTTAAATGCTTTTGAAGGCATCAGAATTGCTCGGAATTACATTTTGGAGATTAATCTCCTGAAGGTTACCCCCATTGTATAACACTGGTATAATTTAGGTCTTTGATTCTTTTTTCAGTGGAGCCTACGTCTTGCTTTGTTCCTGCTTTTGAAATTATTCTCACGCAGCGATTGTGATAATGCAGCATTCTTCAGGGTGGCTGGTAGCTACTCTCTTTTAAGCTAGCGTAGGAAAGCTGGGCTCCTAATGCTTGTTAGCAGGGTAGCTGAGAAGTGCTAATGTTCTGTATGAACAAACATGAAAGCTGGAGTTATGAAAATGATCATCAAAAGAAGGAAAAAAATAAATCGTGAGGGGGAGGTTGGGAAAGCTTGTGAGGCATGTTGTTGTGGGCCTGACAATTTTCTCTTTGTGAGTAGCATGACAGCAGGTGACTGGATAAAGAGAGTGTCAATTGGCTGATGTGGTGGAAGTGCAAGGTATACAGGCAATCGAGAAATAACTACGGAGTAGAGGAAAGCTTTTCTCAAACATATGGAAGAACAAACAAAACCACTGGTAGAGTGGAGAAGAAAATAGATTTTAGACATGGCAAGCAGTCCTGTTTAGGAGTGGCAGTCATAAATCATTAATATGGGTTCCTTTGTGGGAGATGCATTATCTTTTAGAAACATAGCCCTGAAGCTGGTTAATGAAATGGTGATCATCAAAAAGAAGAGATGTAGAAGAGCATGACTGTTGAAGTAAGAGCATCGTGGATTAGTACAGTGATATACTTGATAACATTAAAGAACATGAAAAGTTGGTTTCGTTTTGTTTTGTTGTTTTTATTTTCTTAAAGCTTTATGCAGCCATCCCTCAGTTTGAAATTTCTTTTATTTAAGGGGTGATATAATTGTCCTCAGAAAAAATATCAGCATTTTGTTTATAAGCAAAGTCATGTGAAATAAAGTGGGTACATAGAAGACCTGGATTTGAGTGAGAAGATGATTTGTATAATGGGGGAAGGCATGCAAAGAGCTTTAATGTTGAATGCATAATCCATTATTTTGCATGTGTATATATATAGAACTCTGTCTGTGGTTAGCTGGAAGCACCAATGTGATTGTCATTTTGAATTCATACATTTTGTTTTCAAATTTGGCAAGGTTATAAGTCCTTTTAAGTATTGCTAATGAATTAATTTTTGACCTTTGCTCAAATTGCATCATTTTCTACACACATACGTATATGCATGCATAATCTGCTACAGTTTTGGCTTAGAAGCAAGGTGAAATATTCCTACAGAGCCTGAACTAAGAAGAGACTCCAAGTCCTCTGTTACTAGGACTCTTATGTCCGGGAAGTATTGCAGCAGCTTTGTCTTGACTCGTGAATGTGAGTTGGGAAGGATGGAGAGAATTGGGTCAAAAGCGAGTATATTGAGGGTGAGGCTGAAAGTAGGGATGAAAAGTGGTAATGGGGCTGATCAGCAGATGACAAGGAGGTGGCTTGAGTCTGGCTACTTGAGTTGAAGTCGAGAATTTGTGACAGAGGTGGAAAGTTGGGAGACAAGGAAATGGCTGAGTTGGAGGTTGAGAGAGGATGACTGAGCAGGCAAAGTAGGAAGATGAGCAAGAGGTTGACTGGGCGTTGGGACTAGGTGGGCAAGGCAGGCAGTGTGGGAGGTGAAAGGGCACATAATGGAGTGGGTTTGGCTGCAGAGTGACAGCTGTGGCAGAAGCACAGTACAGTTACTAGCACAGACCTGTCTTACGACTGGCAGCATTGAGGGTCTGCACAAGGGTTGTGAGGTCATCTGGATTTCCAGTGTGGGGAGTAAAAGAGCCAGGCACTCTGGTCTACTAGGGCACTTTCTAGTTGCCTGCAGCACCATGGGGAATGTCCATGCTAACCTTCACTCAGCAGAGAATGGGCAGATGACAAGAGGACAGGGAGCCACCTTCCACAGATGGATTGTTCCTGCTTTCATCTGTACCCTTTTCTTTTGGAGGCATGTGGTCTTCGTCTTAAGGTTGTGGGTTTAATTATTGTGATCTACCACTAGACTACAGCTGTTAAGTGTTCAGAGGAAAGATGTCTCTATGGCAGCCTTAGAATTTCCAGTCCTGTTTTATGTTCATAACAGAATAATGACACATGGAGAAATTGGCTCATTTTTAATTGTTTTTTTTCTAGAAGCCTAAGACAGTATATCTCTAAGCCTCTCTGATGGCAATATTTACTGAAGTCACACTCCAAAGAAGAGTTGTTAATGCCAGATTTCAAATTGCCTGCATAGCTTTGTTGTGGCCTTATATAATAAGTTCATTACTATACAGAGCAGTTCTGTGCAAGTGACGTACACTACCCTTTGCATGATGACTAATTACCTGCTTGTGTTTATGGGCCCTCACTTCCAGATCTAAAATTTGCTCTTCTTTAATACTGAACACTAACTGCAACCATGTGTCCCCTTTGACTTTGACTTTATCTGTATGTGTATATACATATATATCTCTATATTACAGAATTATGTAGAAAATGTAAGTTCTTTGATGGCAATGTTGCCTTGTTTGGCTCCTGTGCTGTAAAATGGATCCTTTAGCTCACATATGTTTTGAAGACAATAATTCACACATGTGTTTTGAAGTGAATGGGATACTGCTGTACAGAGTGGTGTTGAAAGTATGTGAGCACACTGATCATCAAAGTAAGGTTCATAGAAGTTTTGCAACTAAAGCACATTTCACACAAGTGAAGAGAATACAACTTGAAAGTTGCTTACTGCATGAAAAAGAGCAGAAAGAGACTGTATAATTACGGACTTGTAGCATAATGCGTATGCAATGGAGGTTGTACTGGAAACCTTAATTCTGTCACATCCTAAATACTGAGGGGTTTTTTGCCAACATTTGTGGTGTTCCCTTTAATTACTAGGTGTATGATTTATTGACATGAACGGGCCTCAGTTCACTGGTTGTTTTCAAAGCAACCAAACCTGTGCTTTGAAAACCAAACCTGTGTGATGTTGTTTTCCAACATGAGCAAAAATTACCACCTACAAGTGGTGAAATAGTGCTATTGATCTGGAGGGGCTGGGATTAAAATACAAC